GCAGAAATTGTTCATGTGACAGAAGTAGCAACCCCTGCTACCGCTCCAATGGACTTGCATCTGAGAATGAAGTAACAGCTAGAGTCACGATAATTAGCAACACTCAACTACCTTCTAACAACACCGAGCTTCTAAGCCTTGGTCCTTCGTTCTCCCCTGCACAGAATATCAACGCTATGACTTGCCGCAAGATAGTAGGAAGTTTGTACAAGCTCAGAGACACTCTTAGACTGAGAGCCAAATACGGCAGTCCAACACTTGCAGCTCGCGATAATAACAGCTTACTACCGACCATTCCCTTTCCTCAATCGTTTTACAAAGAACCACCACCCGTCCTCGAGATAGATATGAAGTTCCATCTCTTATGCTCTGGTGTTTTCGAGGTTTTAAATAGAGCAAAACATCGACATCAGAATAACCTTACACCCAAACAATGGCAAGGTTTTAAAGAGATACGTGAGCTAATCTTGAACGGCACGGTGCGACTATCTGTAAGCGATAAGGGAGGCGAATTCGTAGTAATGCCTCAAGAACTGGATCGTCGAATAACAACAGCTCATCTAGCGGACACCACAACGTACAGAGTAGTTTCTGCGAAAGACTTCCGATCTCAGTGTAGAAAGCTGAATGACGCTTGGACCGTGATAGCAAAATCTGTCGGACTTGACGACAGATTCATAAAGAGGTTGAAACTCAGATGTCCAAGTTGTCCGGTGTTTTACAGCCTGATTAAGACGCACAAGCTTTCTTTGCGGGACATGAGCTCAATGTCAGAGGATACTTACAAAATTAGACCTATTATTAGTTGTGTTGGCGGTCCCACCGATCGAATTTCGTGGTTCTTGAACAAGATAGTGAGCCAGTTGCTTCCCAAGGTTCCAGCACATTTATCCAACTCTCGCGAATTTATCAAAAAAGTCCGAAGCGTTCAGTTTGATCCGAGCACTGTAGTCGAGTCGTTCGATGTGACTTCGCTCTACACTAATGTGCAGAATGAACAAGCCTTGCAAGCGCTATCGGAATTGTTGGATAAACATGCAACTATCATCAATACTTTTGGGCTTGGCAAAAGGCGGACTATGATCGTGATAAGCGAATAGCCTTCCATTTATTTCTGATAACATCAGTGCGGCAATTCGAAAATGCATTTCACGTGCACAACTGCAAAACGATATTGTTTAAGTCGACATCCCAGGTGACAATATCAAAACGCAGTTAGTTCGAAACAGACTTTACGATCGATACTGTATAACAGATCGATGCGTAGGTCTGTCCGCACGGGAAAATAGGTGATTGTGCACAAATGGGAGTAGTTTATCAGTTAGAATGTCTTAGCTGCAATGCCATCTATATCGGAGAAACTGGCAGAACACTTAGTACTCGCGTAAAAGAACATCTTGCAGATAAAAGGCGTAAAACATTGTTTTCACCTCTGGGCAAACATAGCCACGATTCGCATGATGGAGACGATTTCGATATCAAATGCCAAATCTTGGCACATGAAAAGGAAACCTCGGCAAGGAAGGCGTTAGAAGCATTCTGGATTTCTGCGAAGAATCCAGCAATCTATATATATATATATATATATATATATATATAACTCAATGTCTGTGAGGATGTTCGTTTAATTGTTCGTTCGTTATAGAAACGCGCGCCACTGAACCGATCCGGCTGAAACTTCGCACACGTATATTTTCGACCCCGGCGGTGGTTTATGGCTACTTTTTGAGGCAATTCGCAGGATCCTTCTATCGATTTATTGATTTGTTTACTTAAATCTGGAAAAATGAAAGTTAGACGTGCTCCAACCAATCATTTTCCAATAAACATGTAAGTAAGGGTAGTAAAGTTCATTCTGATCTCAAGGTCGACAGGGTGCAGCGGGTTCGTTTCAAAGCGCTTTTTGCGCATAAGTTAGAAAGTGTAAGTATCAGCTACCAGATTCTTGTGGAGGCGGGCTGCAGACTTTACTGGTTTTAAGGAAAGCTCAACGAGAAAGTACGAAATACAGTGCTAAAACGTGGAGGTTTAACAAGTTTGTCCTGACAATCAAGGAAGTGCGCAACCCTCCTCTACACGAATCTGGGAGCCGATGACATTTTGGTGGGTAGGGGGACGAACTCCGTCAGTTTGAGCCCGCTTTTGCTGGCAATTGGTCGTTTTGAAATATTGTTGTTTGTGGTTGCAGGACCAGTAGTCCGCGGAGATGATTCAAACTGGCGGATTTCGTTCCCCTACCCCTCTTGGTTGAACTAAAAGTCTCGGGCGAGACCGGGTTATCAGCTAGTGAACAATAAAAATGAGTGTTTGTCAATTACCACGGACTTTCTACCCTTCATATCTCTATGCAGACTGTAGATCACTTATGTGCTTTTATGGTATAGTCCATTCTATCCGCCAAGACCATCTCTTCCGGTGCGGAGCCCCAAATAGCGGTGTTCACAGGGTATGTTCATCTTCTGGCATAGCGATTTTTACGGTAGGAATGTTGAACGAAGATTGAGAACTGGCAGTAATGGAGATGGTACTTGATGGCCTCGTTTCTCGGGTAACGCTTTGAGCCATTTTCAGGCCTCTGAGGAAGACGAAAGGCGTCGAAACGTTAGGCCGTGAGTGGAAATAAAGGAACACCTAACAAACCTGTTTGGCACAGAAGTACTTCTACTATAAGAAAGAGTTTTTCACAGAAAATTTGAAAGCAAGGTGATTTCCCCGCTTGATCCGCTCTTGTGCATAAGGGGGTTCACTTCCCCTCCCCACAGGGGATCCCTTGTCCGATATTGTCTTTGTGCAAACAGAGGTTCGCGCGGGGAGGGGAGGGGATCCCCAGCGGGGATCATTCAATGATATAACGCACATCCCCTCCCCGCGGGGATGTACGTGCATACGGGCCCTAGTTTATCGCGGTGAGAATCGCGATCCTTTCAAATCAAGGCGATACAGTTTCTCATGCTTATCAAGTACAATCTCACATTTGAAGCGGAAACTGTAAGCCTTCTCACAACAAAGTTGTTATCTATGCTTCCATCTTTGCAGAATGCTCTTTGTGAGACGAACCGAGCCTCGACCAATGTATAAAAGGAGATGCTCCGCAAGCGGAGGCCAGATGCTGCATCGCCACTCCAAGTAATCGTTTTCCTTTGCGCAGTCTTATTTTATTTTGCATTATACGCGCTTTCAAACCATTTTGTATACTTATCGTATGCGCCTTTTTTACAAATGCCTTTTTTATAAGTGCCTCTACTGTTTAGTAGTATTGTGTATATTACCGTCATTATTGTGCATTACATATAACATGTCTTTGATACAATTTAATTACCCAAGTTTGAGATAAACCTTGCGCCGTACCGGTGTGTCGAGCAGTCCAACTAAACCGAGCCACTGAAACGCGTGCTTATAGTCAGGATTTGTTCTGTTAAGAAGCAGGAAAACAAGGGTAGAGGGATCAAGCTATGAAAGTAATAGACTTGACAGCCCAAACTTTGCAATTAATCGACAAATTTGGTAGAAATAATGTTTGTTTCCAAAAAGGATGTTGATTCATGGTCAACTCCATGATCGTGAACCCCTTTGCCAAATCCCGGCCCAGCTCAAATTTTGATTCCATAAAACTACTTCAGAGTGAAGCCGTTACCAGCCATCTCACAACTTTTCGGTTCATATAGGGAAAGGGGTGACACTTTCCACTAAAAAACAACAGACACGAAAACACCATCGACCACAAAAACACCATCGAGCCTCATAGCCAACCTTGCCTGGACACTGCCTTCGAAGTCACCCAAGTACAAATTTGTAGAGTGACTTTCTCGTTGCGGACGATCACCTCCACGTCTTCATAGGAAACGCCCAGTTGTGATTCATTAGATGCTGATACGAATTATGAAATTTCCATCTCTAATTATTTCAACTATAAAGTTGGAAGTTTCCGCTTTTACAACTTCCCTCAACCTCTCGATTATGCTCGAGTACAATGGATGTGAACAAGACCGTCAGATACGACCACCCCCTCCCGTGAATAGTGTCTAAATAAGATCCTCAAAATTACCGTATAGCAACTACGAGCGTAACACAAATTCAAGCTTGCGTCATAACTATAGGCTGTACCGCCACCATCGGTTCTGGGAACCCACAGGATGAGGCTTCACGAGCGTGGCGCCTCATCTCGTGGATTTCTGCGACCGGTTGTGGTAGAACAGCCTATAGTTTCGATACTCGTTCACGGGCATTTTTGTCTACAGATTGAGCCTGCGTGGCTCTCAGATCCATTGGCTCATAGATTTCGTAAGTTGTACCAGACGCAGCAAGTTTGGCACAAGCAAAGTGCGTTTACGATCAGCTATGAAGAGTTCTTGCAGTGGCAGATCGCGCAGCGACTAACTCGCGTGAGGTATGCCTTAGGTAGGTGCCAGAGTAAGCGAATATTTTGTTCAAGTTGGGTTCCCGAGCAGAATTGACGTCTTGGATTGACGCCAGCAGGGTGAGTGGCGTCAACTCTGCGCGGGACCCCAACTTGAACAAAATATTCGCTTACTCTGGCACCTACCTTAGGCCTAACAATTAAGGAGTTTTTCACTATGAATGAAAAAATGAATTTAGCCATTAGCTGTCTCCTGCAACGACTACTGTACACGAATATATGCAATAATATGTGCTTAAGGAGCAAATTAATCGCAATGACGGCACCTGTTCGAGAATTCCCTTATCTGTTCAAGGTTGGTTGGTAGTCCACCTGTCAGGGGCGCCATCCTTGCAGATGACCGCATTTACTACCATTCGGATATTGAGTACGAAATGATGGGCACTGACTTGAATGGTGATAGTTGAGTCGCTTATGTCAGTTAAAAGTTTCATTAATGTACGCGTAGAAATCTGACTGCCAAGATGAAGTGATTTGATCACTTCATCTTCGCAGTCAGCCACTCAATCGGAAATTCGTAGCGTGTAGGACTTTAAACTTGAATTAAGGAAATTTTTATTCAAACGAGAATCAATTAAAAGTTGCAGACAGTTAGTCTTTGCTGTCAAAATACACAGGTAAATGAACTCCCCAAGAGGTTCAGTATCAAACGACCAAATTAGGATGAAATAGAGAAAGGTCAAATAAGGTTTACAAAGGACGACACGCCGAACGGATAAATCGACAACACCGAAAGAACACAGCTGTAGGAACGACGATGGGCAATCTCGTATTTATCTCCTTTTATTATACTTGTTTCTTCCACCACGTCCGGAAGCTTTCAAACCTCGCCCACGTGCCAGATCCTCTTCATTTATGAAATTGTCAGCTCCCTCATCACCTAAATGAAGTATTCGGATTACAAGGAAATGAGGAAGACATAGAGCATTCTATGGCATCGGCACTCACTTTCACTTGATTCCTCATCTTCTTCACTTTCCTCTTCTTCGTCTTCATCACTTCCGCTGGAGGGCAAATTGTTGCCTTCCTCCACGCCTTCTTCATCTCCAGACTCAGCACCAAGGTCTCCTGATATGAAGCATTGAAAGTCTGCATAAACAAAAACATAAGCAATATTCTCACGGAATTCAATCTCTCCTTCCTCTTGTTCGTCATTCTCATTGATTTTGGCGTGTTCAGGCAACTCATTCTTTTCCTTCAATCGTCTAGCTTCATCTGGTGTGTACTTCAGGATAACGTCACCCTGAATAGGTCGCGATAATAATTACATATGACACAATTTTCCACAAATACAAGCTCAACGTGGTATCCCTGCAATGACAACAGGATTCACTATGAGACCAGTTAATCCTGACTGCCCAGACTACCTAGATTTCTCCACTATACCCTGACAATTCTCTCGCACACACTTGTAACATTACGATAGTGTATTCCTTGAATAAATTAGGTACTGATGTGAATAAACCATATTGCTGCACAGACACGACATAGCTTCACATTTTAAGCTCAGATACATCTCGCACCTTACCGCTTCAAGGATCGGCAGCTATAAGGAACAGGATATCCAGTAGCAGCGTGAAAGTGAACCTCCGCGTTCGCCTACACCCACTCCCCCCACACCCACAAGATATCCGCCTTACGGCAAAAAGCCAACCTAGGAGAGGTTCTACTAATCTAATGACGATGTATCGTCGATTCATGACACGCAAAGACTGGACGCCGTTGTGTCCGACGAAGATAGTTTGCGCATAAGAGAGACAGCAGACAGTAAGAGAAATGAAAGAGCGCACGATCACGGAGACGCCGATATGTCCGCAGTCTTTGCGTGCTATGAATCGCCTATACCACTGAGCACGCCCATGAAATTGTCAGGAGAGATTCCTCAAGAAACCATAAATGCACGACCACTCCCCAATGAGGAAGAGAAAGATCAATATCCATCATTTCATGTAACAGTATTGAACAATTATCATCAAAACGCGCTGAATGACACAACAGACTACGTCGACCCGAACTTTCTAAATCACTTATAAACAAAAGTTCCATTCTGTATTTTACCGAGCGATGAAATCCGGGATTTGATAACCACAAGAACCTAGAAAAGACTACTACTAACAATGCGCAGTAGAATATTGTGCTCGCTATGTTTGTTGTCGGACCAAAAGCAAACCACTTAATCCTCTTAGCAACTGATTTCTTTAACGCATCTAAGCGGAAAAAAGGGAATCTAAAAAACTCAAAGTATGAATGACAGTTTGAGTATGAAGGTAGCGTTCCCACAATATCTACTAACTCGTTTTCGATCTGCGAGAATACTCGTTAGCAATCCAAGTGAAAAAATCAATGGAAAATAAATAATAAAAACAATTTGAAAGACGTTATTTCTATCCACCTAAATACAGTTTGCTAAAAACTTTAAGAAAAGCAAAGTAGATAGTGGCTCACTTTGTCATCTTGGTAATCCCTGAGCCCAACAAGGATGATATCTCCGGTATTGATCCAAACCTTCTTTCGCAATTTTCCGCGAATGTGACACACCCTTTGTTTTCCATCGAAACAAAATGCCAGCACTCTTCCGTTCCCTAACATCTTCGAAACCTGCCCATACTCTTAAACACTGTATTTGCAATGGGATCATTCTATAAAACAAGATATAACCTTGTCCAACGTCTTTTGTGTCCAATTCTCGTTTCATAAAATCATTCTCGTTCTTTCCTCTTCTTCTATTTTTACCTCCTTTTCCCTTATTCTTCGGCATGCTGATTTATCACTCCTGTAAAGATATCTAAATGACGGTCGAAATTAACCAGAACAAGCAAACTTTCTAGGGAATGCTGAAACTGCAAGGCTTCAAAACATGAACAAATCCACCAGATGTTCTGAGCCATCCAGAAAGTGTTGTTTCTATGTGATTTGTCACCAAGAAAAAACGTAAACGAGAACGATTCAAAGATACAACGAATCTCGTGTGCAATGTGATGCAAACAACAGAAATGCAATGAAATCGAGAACTCGTCCTTCTCCGCCCATGGCGAGTCGGACGAAAACGAAAACACGTGAATGCGACGCCTTTTCAGTGTTCAAATTGTAAACTACTCTATCGGAAGAGGACACTACTCTATTCTTACTTGCTAATATTTATCACTGAAAAAACCTTTGTTATTTCAAAAGCTCGTACTCGAATCTCTGGTGATAAAAGGTGAAGGTACCCTTTCGGTGCCATGGGCATTTCACAGAGCTATTTCAACCATTCAGCCATTACATCCAGTCTGGTGGCACCATGTTTCGAGCAAATATATTTGCTCGAAACATGGTGCCACCAGAACTATAGTTAGAGTCAAAGAAAAATCAGTTCGCTTCTTCTCTGTACGAGTCGCATCAAAAAATGCGCACAACTGGGAAGCTAAATTTCAGGCGCGGCCTACGTACTGCGTATTGTCGTTGGGGTATGATTAAAAGTTTTCGAAATTTCGATATCATGTTCCGTGTGGTTCTTCCTTCTCAATCGGTTTGGTAGCACTGATTAGTGGTAGCATAGTCTAGATTCATTACTTCTTATTGGGTTGAATAAGGGGGGGGGGTTTGAAAAAGCACAGGTGCTGCTGAAGAGTGAGATGTCATCATCTTGCTGCAAGTGTTCGCTCGGAGGAAGCTCATAAAGCTCTTGAAATCAACAATGACTGATCCAGTGTTTTGTATCACTTGGGGAGGGGGGGGGAATTGTTGGACTGAAGGTAATGGTCACAAGTTAAGCGTGCAAATCCACTTTTTTACCGCGAGTAGCAAAGTCTTTATTTAGATATTCTTCTGCATGCCAGAATGTATGTCTTCTGCGGTTGTATAAGATCATGTACCAACCGTTCACATTGGGGACTAAGGACATGTCAATAAACTGTGATTGATCAGCTTTGTCCTAGAATCTGTTGTTCTTTTAGTGCATCATTTACTCCATTCCCCATAGATTACTATTTTCAAGCAATGAACTTTCCTCCACTAAGAATCTCATGTGATCGTTTATAGTTATTCAATTGATGGGAGATTCGCAAAACTCATTGGCTAGCACGCAACCATCAGAGTCGGACGATCTTGGTGTTATTCAAGAAAGTGTGATTCAGGACACTACCACTAAAGGCGAAGTTCCGCAGGCGGGCACGCTCTTCTACTATCTTGATCTCCTGATCACAAATATCTCGCAAAAGTACGAAATTGATAGGATCCAGGTACGCATCTTTATCATATTTATGCTTTTAGTCATTGCATATAGAGCACACAGTTATAGGTAACTAAGATGATTAGTAGGCTTTTGCGTTTGCAGGGCGAAGTCAGATATTGGCTGCACCATACTTCCCTCTGCGGTTGTCCGCACTATCTTCTTTGCACAACTCGTTCTTCGCTAGATTCTAGGAGTGCAGTTGCAAAGACATATGATCCATCACATTTCTTGTCACATCAGTGTGGCATACTCCACTAAAGCACGGCTTTGATCTGTGCTTGCCTATCCACAGTAATCCACAATAATAAAGAATGTATTTAACCTGACTGAACCCAGCTAAATAATTGCCGAAGTTCCACTTCACCAAGTGTATTCCGCAGCAAAAAAATTGCCCCAGAAGATGGGTGCTGCAGAGGTCGCCACGCCCATCAACATGTGTGGTCTAAACCAACAAATGTCAGAATGAAAACTGGAGTCGAGAATACCGAGAAATGTCAAAATGATTCTATCACAATGACAGATTTCCCCATCTCTATGTACTATTAATAGTTCCGGGCTCAATACCTTTTATTACCTTCAATCAACCCACAGGGGTGTGACGCCCCAGCAGCTACTGTCTTCTGAAGCTTTCCTCTCGCCTCGGATCACACTTTTTGTAGAATCGAGAATTAGTCAGTCAAGAGCCTCGCTATTATACTGCGTTGAAATCTTACTAACCTTTTGTACTTGAAGGCACCGTCCATCTAGATGAGCGGATTAGAGGCACTGTCCCCCAGGCACTTAGTGGCACCGCCTAGTTGGCGCGTGACTAGAAGCACAATCATCCGACTAAATCGAAAAACTAGTTGCTATTGCTTTCGTTCCTCGATGTCATTAATACGTTTCGGACCGGTGCTGCACATGGTGCAGCACGCGCCTTTCAAGAATCTTTTCAATGTTTGCAGGAGGTTTTCTTTTTGTCCAAAGTTATCAAATCAAAGGGCTAAGTTCCTTCTTTTCAAATGACTCTGTAGAGCTGTGGCGACGGTATTTGTTCAGAAGATATGAGGACAAGTCGAACAACAGTTGCAATGAAGTGCGGCGACGCGAACGACGCTTGCGACGTCGCAACTTTTCTTTGCTCCTATTTCAAAGAGAAAAACCGTGGTTTCAGTAATGATGTGTACTGTATACAACATAGATACTTTTGGATAGAATTAGAAACTGAGTTCTTGTTCCTATCTTTCAGGAAAGCACACAAGTCAGTCCTTCTCAGGCGACACAATTCAAACACTTCGAATTCACTCACAACTTTGGGTATGGATATTATCTGGCATCCTGATTACAATTGTAGCACACAGTCTACGAATCAAGGCCCCTTTGTTGGCTAACGGCTGAAAGTACCCTCTTTTTCGCCGCGCGCAATTTCGCGGTCCGAAACGTGTTAATACCGCGATAGCTGGAGTCATCAGTTTGAATATAATTTCCGCAAATATTCTGGACTTTTTTAGTTTTATTTTTGCAAGCGATGTTTATGTTTCGCGATTGCTTTCAGAAGATTTCAGATAAGTCTACTCCTGCTCCTGCTCTTCTTGCTTGCGTCCTTCTGCCTTTGCATTGCTATTGCTTGGCGGTATTACTCACCCATAATCATCGACTTCGCTCTCAAAGAGGAACAAGAAAGAGTGCGCAGAAACAGCGAAAGAGACAAGCAGGATAGAGAAAAGAGTAGGCGTTATATATTATTCGACCGTTGTAACCTTTATAGTTGCAATATTCGTTATGTATCATACAGAAAACGAGTAATCATGGACGCTTTCAAAAATTTTCTCAAGAAGAAGAAAGTTGAGAAGCACTTCAAGAAATCGGGCCCAGGCCAAAAGCTTGATACTGGCTCAAGCACTCCTGTCCCAAGCATAACCGCTGGTGCTGCGCAAGTATGTTCGATATTACGAATTCAGGTATTCTAAGGTCTTTTGTTTTTTAGGGTGGCGGAATTGATCGTATCGCTGCCTCCGACATTGCCGCGCAAGCTGCTATGAAAAGACTGTACAAGGAGCCTCCTAAAATTAGTAGTAGCCAGAAGAAAATCCAAATGATTGTAAGAATTTGAGTTTATCTTCATGAGTCGTTTCTTTTTTGTTTCTACATACAGTTGAAAGTGGGCGATGCTCTAAATCACCGAATATCTAGGTCCAACGTGAGCTGGAGGAAGAACGACGTCGTCAAGATCCCAGATATGCCATGGAACAACTAGGCTTGCAGGAGAAAAGGTAGCTTCATCTAGCTGCACGCTTCATGTTGGAGCGGAATTATTACTGCTGAACATCGCATTTTTTCATTTGTTATTCGATATTTGATCGCTCAGTAATGCAGGACCAATCTGATATATAAAGAATATTTATTGATTTTTCGCCTCCTCAAAATTTTACAACGATGTCACCACACCGATCTTATTCTTCTTCATAAATTTATCCCAGTCCGTCAACGAATAACTGCCTGCCTAGAATTATGTACCTTGTTCAGACCTGGTCCTGAAGTTCGCGAGTTTGAGCACGCTGATGTCATCAAGGGCGTCTACTTCACTTGTGAGCTGCTCGGAGGCGATGAGGCTATGACAAAGCCTGATGTATGTCTCATCATTCATACGTTTATCACCATTACTAAATATATTGTTATTTGCCTTTATTCTTAATGTCTCTACTCCCTGTGTATGATTTAGATGTACTCAACATAATTGCAGCTCATGCAAGCTCTCGAAGAGTTCCTGATTTCTCACTTATCAACCAAGGATGAGGATACGGTGGTGCCTGCGGTACTCCTTTTATACTCGCTCAATAAAAAACAGCCTAAGGAGGTATGCACTTTTTTTGCTAGGATGATTTTTTGAATCTCATATTGTTTTAGACCGCTGTGGAGACGATTGGAAAATATCTGCAAAACATTATCGAAAACCCAGAAGAACCAAAGTTTAGAAGAATTCGCCTATCGAACAAGGCATTTCAGGTTTCGTTTATGAAAAGTTACATGCTGTTGTGAATGTAATATTGTTTTCTATCCAGGAACGAGTTGCTGCTGTGAAAGGTGGTCGCGAGTTTCTCACTGCTGTCGGCTTCGAAGAGAAGATGCAACCCTTCAAGGAAGGAGATGAACCGGAACCTTTCCTTGTTATGAATGAAGAAGCAGCTCTCAATACTGGCAAACTTATAGCCGCTCTGGAAATGTTGCGAGATGGTCAGAGTGTTCCGATAAAGGTGTCGAGAGAAACTTCCGTAAGCTTTATAACTTCATTATCTCATCTGTGATTATAGTTGCATTCACTATCATTCCTAGATTTTTGCGTTACGGGAAAACGAACGTGTTCCTGTACCGAGGTTGCCACCTGACTTCTTCGATCTGACGCCGGAGGAAATTAAGCGAGAGCAGCAGATGAGAACGGAAGAAATGAACAGGGTAAGCGTCACTACTGCAATAGTGCGAATTAATTTTAGCGTTTTTTTTAACACTAAAAGCTTCGAACTTGTTGGCGAGGCTGCTGAACGGTAAATATATGTTGTTTTGGCATCACTTTTCTGTTTATCGTGTTCACTGTCACCTTCATAAATAGAGCGTAGTAGTCGCTCGCATCATGTGTATGTGTTCGACCAAAGGATCATATACACAGTTCTTAGGTCCCTACTCGAATTACGGCACAGACTGCAATATAGAGTGGTTGGTAATTTTACTGAATGTTCGCAAAGAAGTGTTGCGTAATCTTTCTCAATCTAAGCACGTGCGAGGAATCCCTGTTTTCAGAACTTGATGTTGCGTACAAGAGAAATGCGTGAAAGGGACGAAAAACTACGTCAATATACATACAAGTACACTCTGGTTCGTATCCGTCTCCCCGACCGATACGTACTTCAGGTATTCACGATCTGTTTACCATCGATTTCCACTTCACAGTTTCACACTTTGCAGGGAACTTTTGGCTGTTACGAGCCCTTGTCCGCTGTGCGAGAGTACGTCGCCAAATATCTCGCGAATGAGGCTGCGCTGTTCTCGCTGCGAAATCCAGTGAAAGGTGGTGAACCGCTTGGAGATGAGTCAAAGACCCTAGCTGCACTTGGACTAGCTCCTGCAGTTGTGCTTCATCTTGATTTTGATGAACCTATGGATGGTCCCAGTTTGTCGCAAGAATATATCGACGCTGCTGTTCCTCTCGCTGTACATTAGGTTGCTTTTTCAGTCATTCACTTAATTCATCGTCCAGTGACTATTTTGGCCGGGTTTGGATATGTGCTTATTCTATAAAAATCAGAGTTGTTAGAGGTATCTCTTTTATCTTTGTTTTTGCTAATGTTGTATCGCTTTATACCAAATCATCCTCATCTAACACATTCATGACTACTACAGTCTAGGTCTACTTTTTTTTCAGTAATATTCTTATCCTTTCCACTCTAATATTTCAAAGGATATGCGATATAATTGTTTCATTGGTCATAATAAGATCTTTTTGCATCTGTAAACAGTTTGTACACTAGTTAATCACGTGATATACTGATTTCATTCATTGGATAATCCGCTTTTATATATTAATTAAAATATCATTTTAGTAATGCTCAGTCTGTGTTTATAGTATGACCTTTACCTTATCAGATAATGACAGCGCAACCGACGCACGATACAGTCACTTTGAAGAATGTCACTGGGGAAAGTGGTGAATATTTTCTTTGGAACATTTTTACGAGCTGACGTTGCCGCTGCATGTGGAATACTAATTTCCGATATAAATCGCTAGGCACAGGTGATGGGCGCGATTGATTCGTTTTAGTGCTGCGCTTGAACGACATTCGATTGTGCGTTTAAAGACTGCAGGGACTATATCATCCATTGCCTGACTAGGAGACGCGAGCACGCTTTTACATTTTATTAACAAGTTCATGAAGGAGTTTTAACGCGATTTTGTCAATTTACTATTGGGTGGAATATGTGGAAGAACATAGGTATTTGAGCTCGTTAAACCGCGCTGGCTTGAACACAACGTTCTTTCACGATTTCCTGGTAGTAATCAACCAAAACTGGTTCGAACTTATCCGTGAACTTGCTGATGGAACGTACGCAAAGCGCGCTCGCGTCTCTAAGTCAAGGAATGATTGATATATGATTCACTGCGGCGTTCGCATGATAGTCGCATCATGCTAGTGATTAGAACTCGTTCTAGGTGGGTGGCAACGCAGATTAGCTTTCTACACACGTTCGGGGTTTCGGAGAGGCTCTTTTCAAAGTAGCGAGATGCGCTAGCTATTCTGTTATCATAGTGCCTGGCAGTCCATGTGTGGTGTACAGCTCATTCTTACCCGCCCTTAGTTCTCCATCATATCCACATTCAAGTGCAGATAAGTTGAGTTGATGGTATTCTAGTTAATATACTAAGGCGCCACAGAGTTGAATGCAAGACGGCAGAGAGCCCTCTACTGAAATCTCGCGTTATAGAATTTTAAAAGAAGTGGCTTTGGTTGGTAGTTGTTTATGAAATGCATTCAGAATTTCATTTTTTCAATAATCACATTTAGGCTCTATACTGCTCCTGAATTCTACGAAGAACCAGAAGAAACCTGTCATCGAACCTGTTCAGCCTTCAGGTATTTTGGGAAAGTAAGTGCAAAGTGGACTTTCACTAAGGCACGAGCCATACTGTTCCACTTGATCCGTGAAAATCAGTGAAATGACTAGTGGCGAAGCGGATATCCTTTTTATCTACTTAATTCCTTGATACATTTCGCTATCGGTCGTTTCACCGATTTGACCGTAGCGGAGTGGATGAGTGGATCAAGTATGGCGTGTGACCTACTTCCACATGTTTTGTTCAGTGCCGTTCAAACTGCCGCATATGTTATTTTTTCTTGGTCTCATTGAGTGTAGTTTGCTTTCTTGTTGTTCGTTTTTCGTGTGCTAGCGATATCACCCTTATGCTCGAAAGTAGCTTATAGAGCTCAAAAAATCATTATACATGCTGTCCTAGAAATGTATACACTGTTTGATTACTGGTAACTTTTTTGCCGTAATGCTTTTGGTAAACTCGCGGGTATTATTCTGTAGGTGTAGGGCTCTGCGTGATCGCGAGAGTCGCTGTTTGCGGCCATTGCTTGCGCACTGAGCTTTTTCTTAGCTCTCTCTCTTATTTCTATTTCTTTTCTGCTATAAGATATTGCTCACATCACCTGCAGCGATCTTGAAAAGTGGTTAATTAATTGATTTGATAACTTGATAACTTTAAATCAACTAAACTGCGTATACAATGACCGCAAACTCACTTACTCTCACGATCACGCGGAGTCTACATGGCTTCGTTTACATTTATATTAAAGTTCCCCGTTACTGTAGGATTGCGGTAAGAACACAGTAGGTTCTCTTTCCTCGTGGGCATTCTTGCCTCGAAGAAAGAAAGATTGCAACTTTGCTGTATTGTATAGCGGGTGTCAGCGTGCATAATAAGCCTGCTACACAGCTTTATTTTTTCAAAGAAACGAAACTGCAGCTTTCGCAGTGGCGCTTGGTGGTGAAAGTTTCCATCGCATCTAGACTAACGGAGAGCAATTGGTGATTCATTCTAAATGGTAGAAAATTGAAGCAACTCTACAGAATGGTCTTCCTAGGTTCGCTAAAATCCTCAAGGCAGGAGAGTTAAAACCGAACAGTATGTACATGCTTCTTAGTGCCGACCCTTTAAAACGCTTAGAATTGAGCGTTATTCGCTCGAATTGAGGATGCACTCTGGTGCAGTTGTATCGAAACTGTATTGTTTTCTTTTTCGATTCATCGCGTTGCAGATTGAGGTCCTTCCTGCCAAAAATAGCTACGGCAAATCAGGAATTGAATAGAAGTGGTGCTGAGAAGCTGGATGTCGATGTCACGAAGGTAGAGTCAGATATCGACGAGAGCGATACGAGCACTGATGATGCTGACAGTAGCGAAGAACTCGAGAGCAACGAGGTACATCTAATAAAATCAATCGAATCATGCCTGACCACTAGAGATGATGTTCAAGGCTACTATCATTTTCCACCATTGCCTGAGAAAAAATGTTGAGATAATAAATATTTATTTTTGTAGGATGAGAAGCCTAAAGTTGAATTCAACTTATCGCTATTTCGTGCTGCTAAAACGGGCGATGAAAACGACATAGACCTTAAACCAGAAGTTGAACAAGTGCCGGAAGGATTTCGAGAGGCTGGCGATTCCCAATCTTGCAGTGATTCCCCCGTTGGAAAGAGGCCCAAGCGGCTAGTAGAAGAACTGTAAAAACTACTTCATTCAAGGTTTTTCACGTATGTCATTGCTTATTGGGAACAGCTATGAAAGCATTGTACCTCTTACCTTCAGGGCCGTTCTGTGCCACTAAACTTGTGATGTTTGTATAGTCCATTTTCCACTGAATTGTTTCAGTACTACCTAGCAACATTTGTTCGTCATGCATTGAAGTAATTTTGTTCAGGCTAACAATCGGGTCGTAAATTGGAATTATATTGAAAGTTTCTTCGGTTGTGTCAAAAGCTGCTTTCAGACTCCCTTCCTTCTGTATGCTCGTAGAAGCCACATTGACACGTGTTGATATCCCTTCTTGAGACATTTTTGAAATCCTTTCACTTCGTCAAGGTTTAGTCCAGACTGGTTAGTCTATAGTCATAAATGTTTTCACAAGTGTTCATAAATTAGCACGTTCTTTGGTTTACATCCAAGCCGTGTTTTGATCAAAAATAATCTTGGGCGTTTTGTGTCATTATCTTATGTGATATTATGTTGCTGTCAGTTAGACGATTTAGTATGGCTATTTTCCTTAGCTCGAACAATCCTTTCTCTGAATATGGAGAGAACGCGGCGAGGTTTTTTTTTTAATGAAATAAATGACGGAGGCTCGATGCTCGTTTAGTGAATGGAGTAATCTCACTGCCCTAACGGTGGTAGAACATGCACGAGGAAACAAAATGTTACTCACTATGAAAATAAAACTGAAATATTACATGCAGAACATCATGCATGAGGCCAAGGTCACAACTAGGGTTGTAATTTGTCTACATGCCGTTGCAAACTACAGTTTTTTTGGTATACTGTAGTAATCACTACATTTTTCAAAGAATCACCTAGTTGCGTATGAGTTCGTGCAAGAACTTGCTTCTTGTAAATTATCGCAGTTATTTTATGAAATTCATGACCATTCAAAACGCCTCTATGAAATTTTTTTTGGGGGGGGAAGCGGGGTGTATTTCCATAACAGGATCATAATTTCTTGAATAATCAAATTTGACATGTGCCTTCCAATATTTTTTTAATTTGTTCCCATCTCACCCTCTCATAGAAACTTCCCTAGTTTGATTAAGAATTCAAACTGTAGATCACTTTAGATCTCTCTCTCTCTTTTTCTCAGAATTCTTTTTCTTTTTGAGAGAAAAAACCTTACTCATCTCGCTCATCTAATGATTCCGATAGAACTCTTGTCTGCTTCACGAAATTAGCTTTGCAGATCACATGCCTTAAGTTTTAGCTGACATAGAATTAGCCATTATCGTTCGTTACCTACAGGTTTTTTGAAGCTGTGAGAAGAGTTAGTACATTTTTAAAAAAGTTGGCATTATATAGTTTTGATGATCTTGTTTTGAAGCATCGGGTTTGGCGAGTTTGTACTGTATATAGGTATTTTTCTTAATTACTGTTGACTCGCGTGACCTAATCAGTGACACTTTGCGGGCATTTTCGAACTTCATCTAGACTTTGTTTTCCTAACATTTGATGTCAGTATCCCGCAAGGTCTTTGTCCCCCTTTTTTAAAGACCTTTGATGTCGTTATCTCGCATGGTCTTTGTCCCACTTTTTGTGAAAGAATCGTTGCCTATGTAGATTGCATCAGATTTGACTCATCTGTCTTCGTACTCTGTATTCGCTGATTCACCCATTGCAATCGTGCATGTTGCCGTGAATAAATCTGCGTGCAGCAAAATTTTTGTAAAGATATTGCAGCGTTTTGACATTCTTCTGCTACTACGGCGCCCCATACTTTCCATGGCTATGAGCTCAACCTCAACCACGGCCGCGGAGCACGACGTCCGAGCACTTGAGAAATTGAAGGATATCTATGGGGATTTGGCTCAAGTTTCCGTGCCATCGTTTGGACGCATCAAACGCAATGGGAAAATTATAGAGGTGTGAATGTTGTACTAAGCGCTGTTCCTTTATTTATCGCTTATGTCCAGGTGACTTCTATCTGGGAAAATCACGCCCTCGCTCTGAAAAAGAGCACCAAGACCCAGCGTTCATCTGTGCTTGAGCACATAGATGGTACAAAAGAACTTCGCTTGATATCTACAACTTCTCTTCCTTTGGCGAGCTTCGAGTGAGATTTTTTCTTTGATGAAGGCAGCAGTAGATCTCATGTTCTCAGGGCGCAGGCGATTGCGTATTCACCAAGTAACTCCATGGTGGCTCAGATTATCACCATTCCAGATGGAAAGGAAAAGAAGCAGTATCTGAGGGTTAGTTTTTTTCAAGCAATAGGGAGTGACAGGCTAAATATTCCGGGTCGGTCAGTGCTCCTTTTTCTCAATTCGAGCGATACAAAGTGCAACAAATGTTTTAGGTCTTTGATCAAAATGAGCACGTAGAGGTTTTGTGTTCTGATTTGAGTGGTCAAAAGAAGCACGGAATTATCTATGGAGGAGGTTCAGGTTTGTAGAATAATTCTGTTTTGGAATCAGTGGAATCCGGACTCTTTTCTACATATATTCATTTTGTGACTGTGTAGAATTACCGTTCGAACCGAAACTTTCAATCCATTCTTACAAACAATTATTACTTGTAGAGGAAAATTTGAACGGTATCCATCTTGCATTTTTTTCTGTGCACTGCTCATTTGAAAAGAGGTCTGGAGTTCCTATTCTCTTGATATCTATTTGTGCTACCCAAGTGTCTTCCTTTCTCTTATTTTCCGCAACTTCCAACCGTATTACCGGTGTGAAATCCTTTTTGCAGCTCCCTTCGCTTCCTTGCGATTTTCTCACGGTGAGGGACATGTGTTGTATTGCGCTGAGAGAAAAGTCAAAACTGCCGAGTACTTCGACGCTGACCTGGAATGGGACAACGATGAGAAAATACTGGAAAGTAATGTGGTAGGTTTTTCATCTCAGTAATAAGCAGTATATAAAATCCAGTTTTGCATTCGATAGTTTCCCTCTTTTCAGGGAAAAAAGTTCGAGCTTCGCGATTCCTGGGGCGAATCATGCGCAGAAGTCAAAGAACCTGTCCTATGCATTGTGGATATTTCATCGGGCATTGTTACTGTACTCGATCAGATACCACCTGAGATCTCACCTACTTTTGTGAGTTTGTGTAGTTTTCCTGATATAGCATATTCACTAGTAGGCAAAGTTCCTTTTTTTCGAGTCAAGTTCTACATGATTTGTTGAAGGGCGTTTTTTCCTCTTTCAGGCGATATGGGCACCAGACGATGCTGGTATCGTTTTCTTCGGACTCCACAATGATCCGTTCAAACTTGGAAGAATCGCTTGCAATAACAGGCCGTACGTTTCGCTTCGCTAAAGTTTGCAAGAGTTGAGAAATAATGCTGTTTTAGTGGCTCCATGTACTATTACGAACTGAGCTCAGCTAAACTTCGGGTTATCGGTGACGAAAATATCGCTGCAGAACATCCGTCTTTCTCGCCTGATGGTCAAACACTTGCATATTTTCAACGGCTTGCTGATGGTCCGCACCAGGCTGTTATGGAGTGCGTGAAGGTTTGTTGTTTATTGATCTCATCTGCTTGGAGGCCAGAATCACTTGAGAACCAAAAGAGTCTTTTGAGTTGTGGTGCCCACATAGAATTCGGGTGTGTGAGACAATCAGTGCGGAACTTAATGCCGCAGATGTCTAATCTGCTTACGTGCATCCGAAAGATCATTGGAAAACTTTGGTTTGCCACCAGGTCTGGAATCTTCCTGAATTCAGCCACTAAGTTGACGCTGAATATACAAGGTATCCCAAAGTAACGTATATGTTTGGTCGTTACTCTCTCTCCCTCTCTCTCCCTCTCTCTCCCTCACTCTCTCTCTCACCCTCTTCTCTCTCTCTCTCTTGCGTTGAAGTCTCGCCGACTTTCACGTGCCATTTTGCAGAGCTAGCTTCTAGATTTACAGTAATGAGCAAACCATCGACTATTCATTGTCTACAGTAAGGACGGTAGAATTCATAATGGCATCCTTGCCCACAGATAGTGTAATCAGGTTTTCGACAAATTTTTGTTTTCAAGTGTACTGGGTGTCTGGCTTAATTTTCAAATGAAGAGCTAATAATTTTCAATGCTTATATGTGGATTCAGCGACTACAATGTGGTTAGTAACAAGAGTTTTAGCTTATTGGTAGGAAACCCTTTCCAGATTTCGTATCGTAATCCTACAATAGAAGGGGCGATCAATAATTTGCTGTACTGTAAATCTAAGTTGAAGCCAGTTCTTTGAATTGATACACGTAGGACGGCGAAAGACTGGCAAGAGAATGTCAACTACCAAACGATGCCGACATTTTTTTGTGACACCCTCTGTTTGGTCATTTTCCGCGCGGACAAAAAACACTTTTGTCTCGCTTTCTACGATAGGAAACTTTCTCTATAAGTGCATCCGCTCGGCTGCAAACAAGTCTGCTCATATATCTGGTAGTAGTAGTTTCATACCTACACCTCTCCTCTAAAAAAGTGCAATGAGAAGTTAAGTTTACACGTTGACGACCACGACACCATCACATTTTGCCTCATTAATATGGACCAAATATCTAAATCTGCGGTTCAGGCTCCTGAGCAGCTACCGTGATGCCCTGTGTTCTATATGACAATCAGACCACCAGCAGTATCACAACATAGAAGTTATACCTTAGATTTTTTGTTTACGCTGAAAGTGCTAAACTGTCAGGGCGTGCATACTCGCGTATGCATACGGTAGTCAACGTGTTGAAAAAGTGGAGATTCCGATTAATTACGAAACAGTTGTAGGCAAAGTTTGTGTTGTGCGCCCGGGCTAGGAGAACAGTTTTACGAGCAAATTCTTAGGGATTGTGAGTGAAAAGCGACTGTTAATAGCCTCAAGTATACTGTAGATTCGACACAAGCCTGATTTTGTCCATGAGAATGCATTTGAGGGAAATTGATGTGATGCAGATCTTTGAGGCAATGGTTGTCGAAATCTCTCTCCACTGAGTTTCAAAAATAATAATGGTTATGAATGGATTAGAGCTGATTCGCATGTTTGATCACGGTTGTA